TGTTTATTGTAAGCCGCCCGGAGTCCTTCGGGAGTGGGCGGCATACAAGACCAATAAACTCAAACTCAAACTCATATTTTGTCTCTCTGCTATGACCTGTCCAACTTGGGTGACTCTGCATGGCACAGCTCATAGCTTCATTGAGCTACGCAAGCCCCTTCACCATGACAAGGCAATAATCCATAAAGGGGCGACAATAAATATTGACCATCAAACATGGATTGCATTGGCAATCAACTGCATTTGCAATTGGGAGGAATATCATGTCACCTGCTCTTGCACTTGGGAAGCAGTGGGCCAGACAAAAGTGCAGATCTGTGTTATCATAAATATCCTAAGGGAGATGCAGAGATGGACAGCTGATGGCCCCCAAACTTCCATTTTATAGTTCCCAGAATTCTTTCTGACTGTATTGCTTTGTAACTGTTTGTGGGTGGGGGTAGGGGTGGATGGAAAGTGTTAGTGTAAACCTAAAATAGACTTAACAGCAAATTTGGGGAGAAAACCAAAAACAAAGGGAAATCCCAGCCCCAGCCCCACCCAGTGATTACATATTTGCATCATCATCACTGATTCCACTGCAATTCTCAGCCTTCCTAAGAAAGAAAAGAAATTAAGTGAGTGTTGTAATACAGCCCCTGCCCTCTGCAGCAATCCCTGTAACTGTGCAAAGTTCCGGGAGGAAATTCCAGGTTCTCCTGACTTTTATGAGGAATGTGATTGTTTAGTAAGTCCCCACTCTGCTCTTACATCCTGATCTTAAAGGGAAAAGGCGTTTAATCAAGTTACTATGCAGATGCCCCAAGGATTTATTCTGAGCTTAGTTGCAAAGGGCGTCTCCTGCCTAGCTTCTAATTCCTGCAATGAAATGACTCATTCACCCCAATTTGCTTTAATTACTTGGAAATCTTCTGACTTGAATGTGACCCTTCCCGGGAATCGACTGTTTCACCTTCTGAGGCTAAATCAAGCACATGCCTCTACTTCCTCATGCAACTTTTAGATATTTGAGGCTTGATCTGGAGTTTCTCTTATGCCAGTAAGACATTGTTACCAAGATTCTTCTCATAAAACACTGAGATGGCTCCTTTCTACATCACAAGATCCAACCTTTCTACTATTCTCCAGGCTCCAACACGGTTCCTAGTTCTTAGATCAGATCATCATATTTTATACTGAAATCATGGAAGGATTTCCTGTCTTATTACACAGTATAGATTGCCAATCTCTATTTTTGATTCCTGCAGGACATTGACTGGTATCAAACCCATGGTCGCCTCTGTGAAGCCACCATAAAAATAACAATCCTTCCCATATGGAGTTATCCAGGCCTCAGAATCATATCATGGAGCAGCCGTGTGGCTCATCTGAATCATGCAGAAAATCCACACATCTGTGCCAGTTGCTCAGCAGGTGATACAGAGCTTTTCACATAAAATAGCAACAACAACAACAACAACAACAGTGAACCTGCATTGATCTGGTAAATACGTTCAGAATCTCCCCATTTCACATCTGTGTTTGCTTTATTGAGTGATCAGTGATTGTTGTTGTTAGTTGCGAAGCTGTGTCTGACCAATCACGACCCCATGGATAATGTTCCTCCAGGCCCTCCTGTCCTCTACCATCCTCTGGATCCATTNTTTAAACGTACATTTAAAAGGTAAAGGTTCCCCTCGCACATAGCTGCTAGTCGTTCCCGACTCTAGGGGGCGGTGCTCACCACGGTTTCAAAGCTGAAGAGCCAGCGCTGTCCGAAGACGTCTCCGTGGTCCTGTGGCCGGCATGACACAACTTCCGAAGGCGCGTCAAACGCTGTCACCTTCCCACCAAAGGTGGTCCCTATTTTTCTACTTGCATTTTTTTTTACGTCCTTTCGAACGGCTAGGTTGGCAGAAGCTGGGACAAGTCACGGGAGCTCCCTCCGTTACGCGGCGCTCAGGATTCGAACCGCCGAACGGCCGACCGTTCTGATCGGCAAGCTCAGCGTCTTAGCCACTGAGCCACCCTTTAAAAGTGCATTAGAACCACTTAAATAGGGCCAGTGTTTAGAGGGGGCTGCCCCTGTCTCTCTGGGTGAGTTTCTGTTCATTTAAGTGCCCAAATGCAAGCCGTTTAGTTGCCCCCAAGTGTCCGAAATAGCCCGTTGGTTGCCATCAGGGATATGGAGGACAAGCCGGAAGTCCAGTGGAATTCCTTGCTCCGGTCAGTTTCCATGCAGGGTAGCCCTGAGGCGTGCGTGACTCAGCTGCAAAAATTGAGAAAGAGATAAGAGAAAGGAGCTATTTTATTCTCTTTCTCTTTTAAGAAGAAGGAAAAAAGAAGTTTGGAGACACAATGGGGGCTCAGTTTGAGCCGAAAGCGTTCAGAGGCCCCCGGGGTTAGTCTCTGGGTAGAGGCTTACGGCCTGGTCAGGAATGAGGAGACATCCTGATGTGTCACGGCTGCCAAATTGCCTTCTGAGCTCATCGCCGCCTCCCTTCCTGGGGTTCCCCTATAATCCCACGCTTGCCTTAATATAGCTCCGCTAGCCGATAACCCGGCGTTGCCCAGCTATTTATTTATAGGACGGAAATGTCCAAACGAAACATAATTTCCAATGTTGGATTTTTCCCCTTGTGGAGGACTGTGAAGCCGTTGCCATAGCAACTACAGTGGAAGCCATTTTAAGGCAGTACAGCAGAAGCCATTTTAAGGCACAACAGGCTGCATCATAACAAAGCACACACCCCAAGGGGTGTTAGGGGTGTCTTACCCCACAGTATTTGTCTCCAGAAAGTAAGTTATCCATGTAGCAGGTTGAAATTGCTTGAGGTGTTCCAGCGTTATGCTGGAACATACAAAAACATAAAGCCAATATGGTGATGAATAAACCCACTCTTGTTCATTCCAAGTCCTAACTCCAGAAAGAGAAAAAGAGAAAAAAATCTATGCCCCCAAAGTTGGGACTTTTTCATCCCACCTGACAAAGCGCTCTGCCTAAGCCGAAAGCTTGCTTCTGCCGTCTCTACATTTCATTTAATTTCATTATTTTATTCTATTTTATTTCATTTCATCATTTCATTCTATTTTATTCTATTTCAGTTCATTTCATTATTTTATTTTATTATGTTTCATTTCATTATTTTACTTTATTTCATTTCTTTATTTTATTATATTATATTATATTTCATTATTTTATTTAATTTCATTGTTTTATATTTTATTATATTTCATTTCATTATTTTATTTTCTTATATTTTTTCATTATTTTTACATTTTATTTTATCTTATTTCTTTATTTTACTTTATTTCATTTCTTTATTTTAGCATATTCTATTTCATCATTTCATTTCATTATTTTATTCTATTTCATTTCATTTCATTATTTTATTATATTTTATTTCATTTTATTTTTTCATTATTTTTACATTTTATTTTATCTTATTTCTTTATTTTACTTTATTTCATTTCTTTATTTTAGTATATTCTATTTCATCATTTCATTTCATTATTTTATTCTATTTCATTTCATTTCATTATTTTATTATATTTTATTTTATTATTTTATTTTATTATTTCATTTTTTTTTATTTTTTTTTATTATATTTTTTCATTATTTTTACATTTTATTTTATCTTATGTCTTTATTTTAGTATATTCTATTTCATCATTTCATTTCATTATTTTATTATATTTTATTCCATTTCATTTCATTTCATTATTTTATTATATTTTATTTCATTATTTTTATATTTTTATTTTATTTATTTATTTATTTTTATTTTCTTTTATTTTCTTAAAGCGAGCGCTGTCCCTTTAAAAGGCGCGCCGCCGCTGCTAAGGCGGGCGTCCGTTGCCAGGCGCCGTTGATTGGCGGAGCGGGGATTCCCTTCGGTATGACGTCACCGGGCCAGAAGCGTCTTTCCCCTCGGCTGACACGAGGGTTTTCCAAAGCGGCCGGCGGGGAGGGGAGAGGCGTGTCTCGGCCAATGGGGGGCTCGGGCGTCGTGAGAACGGGGCGGTAGCCTTTCCCGTATATGGCAGAGGAGGGGGCGCGGCTTGGGGCGAGGCTGCTCTCTGGGGCAGCCGCTCCCTTCGGCTCCCAGCTGCTCAGCCAGCGATACGGGGGCTGCCGAAGGGGACACGCGCGTTTCTCCTCCGGGCCGGCGAAGAAAGGACTTGGTTCAACCCGGCAGAAGCCGCTGCAATGATTTCCCGCAGGTAAGGATTGCCTGGGGTGGAGGAAAAGGCAATCTGGGGGTAGACTGCTCCTGGTGCTGGAGGCTCCTCTAAAGAGCGAGCCCTTGGGTCCGCCGGGGTGGTGGTGGTGGTCCTTGTGCCCAGATCTGGGTTAGCGGGTCAGGCGGGTAAAGCCAAGCACGGGACATCCTTCTTGGCCCATAACTGGTTCCTTCCAACTGTATGATTCTAAGATTCTCCTGCTTGAGCAGAGGGTCGGACTAGATGACCCCCAAGATCCCTTCCAACAGTATGATTCTATTATGATTCTTCTGCTTGAGCAGGGGGTGGGCTGGAAGACCTCCGAGGTCCCTTCCAACTGTACAATACTATGATTCCCCTGCTTGAGCAGCGGGTTGGACTACATGACCTCCAAGGTCCCTTCCAAGTCTGTCATTCTGTAAGGGTCTCCTGCTTGGGCAAGGGGTCAGACTAGATGACCTCCAAGGTCCCTTCCAACTCTGTGGTGTCTGTGTGCTAAAGTTATGTATATGTATATGCATATGTATATGTATATGCAGATGGTGCAATTTTTGATTTAATTGGGATTTAGCTGGGGGTGGGTGGGGGAGAAATCTTTTCTTATCCCAAAGTTTGGGTTTAAAACCACTATTTGAGAGCGATGTCAAGTTTAGAAATGAAATAAATACGTATTTATTTCATAAATAAGTCAAAAATCGCACAGAGGTAGACTGCTGCTGGTGGTGGAAGTTCCATTTATGTAATACACCTCCGTCGGTTGACCCCCTTCGAGTCAGGCGGGGGGGAAATCTTCACTGGGGCAGGAAAAAAAGGGGGTGCCAAATTTATTCGGGTGGCAGGGGGGAAAACCCCTCTTTTCCTGGGACTCTTTTGTGAATATTTGAACTTTATCAAAATAATACTTTTTTTTAAAAAGCCACTTTTGTCGCCTGCTGCTTCTTTGATATCTTTGCATCGCATCCTGTACGTGTGTTTCCTTTCCTTTCGGCCCTAGTTTATAATGTAAATATCAGCTCAGAGGCAACGTTTCCTGCCTCTTTTTCCTCCTCCTCCTCCTCCTCCTCCTCTTGAAAGCCTGGAGGCCTCATCCTTCTTCCTCCCTCTCTTTAAAGATTTAAATCCACCGGGACCTCTGGGATCACTTCAGCCTCTGCGCCGGATCCCTGGCTGGAGTAACCGTTTCTTTCCGCTTCCTAAGGAGTTAAGGCCCGCTATCTAAAAGCTTTTATTTTCCCCTTTCTATTTCTTTCCCTTCCTCTTTCCTTTTCTCTTGTTTCCTTTCTTTCCTTCTGTCCATCCATCCTTCATTCTTTTTCTCTGTTCCTTTGCTTCTTTCCTTTCTTCTTTCTCTCTGTTTCTCCTTTCTTTTCTTCCTCTTCCTTCCCCTCTTTCCTTTCTTCCTTTCTCCCTTTCTCCTTTCCTTTCTTCTTCTTCTTTCCCCTCTTTCCTTTCTTCCGTTCTCTCCTTTCTTCCTCTTCTTCCTGTCCTTTCCCTCTTTCCTTCCTTTCTCTCTATTTCTCCTTTCCTTTCTCTTTTCTTTCTCCCTGTTTCTCCTTCCCTTTCTTCCACTCCTTCCTTTCCTCTCTGTCTTTCTTCTTCCTTTCTCCCTGTTTCTCCTTTCCTTTCTTCTTCTTTTCTCACTTTCCTTTCTTCCTTTCTCCCTTTCTCTCCTTTCTTCTTCTTCCTGACCTTTCCCTCTTTCCTTCCTTTCTCTATTTTTCCTTTCCATCTTTTCTTTCTCCCTGTTTCTCCTTTCCTTTCTTCCACTTCTTCCTTTCCTTTCTGTCTTTCCTTTCTTCCTTTCTATTTCTTCCTTTCTATTTCTCCTTTCCTTTCTTCCTCTTCTTCATTTCCTTTCTGTCTTTCTTTCTCTTCCTCCTTTCCTTTCTTTCTCTCTCTCTTCCTCCTTTCCTTTCTCTTTCTTCCCTCTCGCCTCCTGTCTCCTCTCCTTTTTCTTCCTTTCTTATCTTCCTCCCTCTCTGCTCCTCCTTTCTTTTGTCCTCTCTCTTTCTTTCCTTTTTCTCTCTTTCTCTTCCTCCTCTCCTCTCTCCCTTCTTTTCCGTCTTCTCTGTTTCCTTTCCCTTCTCCTCCACTGGGCCTGCAAATCAGACTTACATCATCCCTGCTGACCTCTGACCCTTCTCCTAAAATGAACTTTCCCTCCCTCAAAATCCTTTCATCTTGAAATCCTTCCTTCCTCGTGCTTGGCTGTCTGTGGGAAAGTGGTTCGTATCCCACTTTGGACCCAGAAAATTCTGCCGTACTGGTCATCGGCTCAGCCTGCACCGCTGCTATAAAACCAAGGCAAAAAATGTGCCTTCTTTTTCACGGCTTTTCGGCAAGGACAAACTAACCAGCATGGCTTACAAACTGTGGTTTAGGACGAGCACAAACGCTTCTTCCAGAAGCCGCAGCTTAGCCTGAGATGGCACTCAAGGACCCTGTCGATTTGCGCTGTCACTCAAGATTTATGACAGTGACAGTGTCCCTGAGCGGGGGGGGGGGGGCGGCGTCACGCAATCCCCTTTGGCGAATCTTCTGCCAAGCCAAGCCAAGGGAGAAGCGGGATTCGCTGAACAACCGTGTTCCTCGTTTAACAACGGCAAGGGATTGGCTGAACAACGGTGGCGAGGAGAGTCGTAAAACGGGGCGAAAGTCACCGACCACATTTCTCCCCTGAGCGGCATATATTTGGGGTTTCAATTGTGGTCGTAAGTACTTTTTTCATTTTTTATAAACCTTTTTTCCTGCGCCTACCCCATCTAGTGTTCCATTTAGCCTACAATATTTTCCCAGTTTTATGGAGTTGGAAGGGACCTTGTAGGTCATCTAGTCCAACCCCCCGCCCAAGCAGGAGACCCTGTTACCATTTCTGACAGAGGGAAGTCCAGTCTCTTCTTGAAAGCCTCCAGGGATGAAGCTCCCACAACTTCCGAAGGCAACTTCTGTTCCATGGGTTGATTGTTCTCACTGTGGGAAAATTCTTCCTTATTTCCAGGTTGAATCTCTCCTTGGCCAGTTCCCATCCATTATTCCTTGTCTGGCCTTCAGGTGCTTTGGAGAATAGCTTGACCCCCCCTCCTCTCTGTGG